TAGTGAAGCATTATCACGATGCAATGCCTGGGGAGAAAACCAAACTGTATTTCTTCCCAAAGTGCTGTATTTCTTCCCAAAGTGCTGTGCTACTTGAGGTCTTCAAGACAAACTTGATGGGAAGGGAGAGGGCTGAAGAGAAAGTTGTTTCTTTCTCTTCGTGTGATGTGCAATATATAAGTGACATTTTTAGTCCCTTACCTGGAGATCTCAGGATAGACTCACCAGCACTTTCTAGCACACCTTTCATTCCCTGGAAAGCTTTTCTAGAGCCGTCCCCATGAAAATGTAGTTGCAGTGTTGGGTAAAGCTTAGTCTTGAAATGGCAGCATAGCCTAGATGTACATTAAATACATAGCTTGAAGAGTTATGCATGTTTAGTCTTCTGAGCTGTTAAGTTGGGAGAGAGGCAAAAATCTGTGGCAGAGGCTACCGTAAGAGCTGAAGGTGGAAGATCTGTGTAAAGCCATGAGACCTGCAGGTGAGCGTGTTGGAGGTGAACGCTTCTGGATGTTTGCACGAGGGATGAAATGGTATGCAGTAGTTTTGTTAGACTGTCCCTTGTTTACGGTTTCTTGTGCTTTTTTCCTACCAATAGATGCCATGCTGAACATCTGAGCAGAATTACAGTGCAAGGCTGGAAATTGGCACGCGGGCCTTATCAGCTCGGGATTACTTGTCGTAGTAAAGTTTTTAAAACACTTGGAGCTGTGTAGGTGGGAGAGACCCCAGATTAGAGAGGAGGCTCAGGCAGTAAGCGTCAAGAGACCCCCACCAGTGCCAGTCCAGACCAAAGGAGCGTGAGAGGCTTCATGTATCTCGTATTCTTCTCCTTTCATAGCCATCAGCCTTACAACACTAAATGACAACAATGCTTTCTTGAATTAATTGCTTTAACTTACTGTTCTTAATTTAGGAATGTGTCCTGGATTAAAATAGATCCCCAAAAGTTCAAGGCTGTGAGGATGATCTCTTCCAGACACCCTTTTCAGCAGGTGCCTTGGGAATGCTCTTGTGTTCAGTGGCGGGGCACTGGCAAGAAGGGCAGCGTGGTGTGTCTTGCCAACAAGTGTTCATTTGCTACTTCACTCTGTTTGGTAAAATTAATAAAAGGCTGTGTGTTACATAGGCTTGCCGTGGAGGGCTGCATAGAGAAACGGGAAGAAACCAGAAAATGTGGCATCAGAAATACTCTTCTTAACTGTCTGTTATTCAGCATAATTAGTTATTTTGGACCAAGAATGGATTTTTAGCTTTATGGACTTCAGCTTTTTCTTTTGAATTTTGTTGTAGTCCGAATGATTGCAGAGGAAAACAATATGTAGAAGAGCAGCGTACAATATATAGCTTAATGCAGTAGCTGCAGGTTTTTGGCCAATGATGTGAAAAATGTATGTTTTCTTTTTTTTTTTTTAATGTTAGAATCACTGTCAGTCACTGTGTTTGTGACACATTCACTCTTGGGAAAATAGAAGTAACAATGCTGTGAAGCATATGTTTGCAAAATGGAGTGAAGGGAAATCTTCTAGTCATACACTCTTAATAGGAGTGTCTTGCTCAGGTGTCGTCAGAAGGCACAGCAGAAGCTCTAAATCTAGGATGGGGAAGGCCAAGGTCGGATCTGGTAATGCACTCCTCCTTTGCCCTTGCATCAAGAAAATGCTCCTAGGCTTAACTGTTGTGTTTTGGCCATCATCTCTGCAGAAAAGCCTCCATCGATGTCGGCTGCTTCTGTGGATTTTGCAGCAGAAGTAATTTCTTGATAAGCAGGGAGCTGCCAGTTTTCAATCAGAAAAAGTGCCATAGCAGATCAACTTCTTATTTTCTCCAGAAATGAAATATCAGATGGCAAAAATCTTGGATTAGAGGCATGTTTTATCTAAAGAGCAGGGAGATAGCACAAAGGCTGTCTCAACAATGAATCTGTTCTTCTGTTAAAACTTTGCAGTGTCACTGCAAGTTTCACAGATGCCATGCTGAAAATGCAATGTATAAAATTGCTGCTTATTACTAAAGGTGAGAGGTGCTTAGTTTAAACACCAGGACCACACAGTGATAGCAAGTACTTACCTTTAGATATTAAATAGTATAATGTGTGTCTTTTTTTCCTGATCTAAAATGTTTAAAAAGGTGTTATTTCCACTCGAGGTGTTTACAGAAAGTTCATTTGAGAGCTCAGTGTTGCATCTTCGCTGGAGATATAACAGACAAATCCATTAACCTACTATCCTTGTTGTAAGGACACTCCAACAGAGTTCAACTTGGGAAGTTGAGTATTTGAATTATTCATGATCCTAATCTAAATGCTTTAGTTCTGTTTACAGTGTCTGTTAATTGCTCAGGTATTTCTTTATGATTAGAAACATTTAGCTGTCCTAATCAATAAGATGAAGTGCTATGCTGAGCAGTTCATTAATATGGCCCTGTCAGCTCAAAATATAGAAAGCTAAATGTGATCATGACTTGCTCTGGTAATTTCATTAAGCTGGGAGATGTCATGTCTTTTCTGAAGGGAATGAGATTTTAAGTAGACAGTCATAGGTTGTCATGCTGTTAGATTGATAGCACTCCGAGTAAACGGACGCATTTTTTTTCCACCAACTTCAGCTGTCTTCCTAGCTAAGGCAAAAAAAATACCAAAAAGCTCCCTATTATAAAGCCACAAGGCAAGGGCTCCATAAATTTACAAGTTATTCTTTTGAGTGAAAAAAAATTTAAAAACTGCCACAGTATGACTGCTGTCTGCTTTATTAATTTAATAGAGATCCCATTTGGAGGAGCGGACTGTGAATAGGGTTCACATTCACACGTTACCTGTGGAACGACTCGCTTCTGTTTTTATTGGAATTTTGATAGGGTTGTGTTGCATCTATAAAGAAAAAAAAATCATGAATTTGGAGAATTTTTTGCAAGTGATAATAGATGTGTCACGTTTGAGATGCTCTCTGGAGTTTCTGAAAATGTTAGGAGGAGTAAGCGTGTGATGGTTGTACTGATCACGGCAAGCCAGACAAGGTGTCATCCCAGTTACTAGAAAATTCCCTTAATTACCTGGGGGAAGGACAGCGATGGTTGACTGTTAAATCATACAGAGCTTACTAGTTCCACGGGAGAAGAGAAGTTGAGATAGTAAAGGGAGGTCTCTGCCGGTAGAAGTGTTCCTGCTTTATTTTTTTAAGCTAAATTTCGGTAACATGTTAACATCTTAAAGAATAGAGGAAAAACACGTGTTCTCTCCTTTTCTAAAGAAAAAAACAAAAACCAACCCCCCCCCCAAAAAAAAACCCCAAAAACCCCAACCTGAAATACTTCTTTTAATTGTGCCATTTTAACTTACAATGCTAAACTAATAGGGTAGTTAGATGCTGACTCCTGCAATGTTTCTTGGTGTGATTTTTTTTGTTATTACTGTAGGCATTTAAAATTCATGAAGTTTTTTTGTGTTTGTTTAAACAGAGTGGGGGAACTAAGATACGCGGTTTGCATACCTCTTGTAAGACAGTAATTCTATTTCTTCAGTTCTTCATGAATTTTTAAAATGTTTTTAATTTTCCCCTTGAGAAGCCTTCTCACTGAAAGTTTAAAAGTTAAAAATAGATATTTAAACCTAATTGCATACTTTGCTGTGCTTTGAATGCAATGGGCTCACCTTTGGAGCCTGAGAGGCAAAGGAGAGCCATTGACTCCTCTCTTGAGGAACCTAACCCAAAGAGGAGATTTATCTTTGCGTTGTGTTTCTCAGGTGGTAAAACTGAAGTGAGTACTTTCAGCTTGTACCTTCTGAGGTTGGCTACACCGGAGGGTGGAGGGCTGAAAGAAAAAGAGCTCTTGATTTCCCTTAACGCTGTTGTCCCGTGGGAGGGATTTAAACCAATGTTGAAGTTCGTGGGGGAGGAGGGTTAAGTTGGTTTATAAATGCAGGTAGGAGGCTCACTGATGTTCCAGAATTGCATCTAGTTGGGAAATCGCTGAGGGCAGCTCTGATGTTTGGCTCCGTACGCCAGCAGCACTGGGGCGTTTCGCGGAGGGAGGCAGCCGGCTGGCGCGGGGTGGGTCGGGCGGCGAGGGGCAGCGCTGAGCTTCGGGGGGGACTGCGCCAAGCCTGGGTGTTTCCGTGCTTGTTTCGGGTAGATGGTATTCTGTAATACTTTGCTGCGAGCAGTCCCATTTTGATAGCACCCCAGCCACTGCATTTTAAGGTTCAGTCGAAGCAAAGCTTAGGTGGAAGCTGCTGCTTTTAACCCACCACCTTTGTAAGGCATGATAAAATACAGCCTGTGTGCTCAACATCGGCATGAACTAGAGAGAGGATCTTGAAAAAAGATACATTGTGAGGTTTGGTTGGGTTTTTTTTAGGAAACTCTTGAGGAAAACGTGTTACTTTTTTGCTAATTGTTAGTGACACCACCCCCCATATACCAAGTATGTTCTGAAAATTAAATTTCTGTTATCATGCTCCAACTATGCGTGTTGTTCTGTGCTTATCCCAAGTTGATAAGGTGATTATTTTGGGCCCCGGAAGAGTTTGTTTACAGCTTTAAACTCTGTGTTACACTATTTTGTTCTGGATTTCTGTGAAGACCTCATTTACATTTCTCAAATCTGCCCAAATCAAACAATTTCAGTTATGCTGTCATGGGTGGGTAAGCCTAGAGTTTGGTTCACGCTTGCTTCAGCTGTTCGTGCTTTGGATGGACTGAACTTTCAGATGTAAACTTCCAGGGGAAGTTTAGGTTGGATATTAGGAAAAACTTCTTCACCGAAAGGGCAGTCAGGCACTGGCACAGGCTGCCCAGGGAAGGCATTGAGTCTCCATCCCTGGAGGTATTTAAAAGACGGGTAGACGTGGTGCTTGAGGACGTGGTTTAGTGGTGGACTTGGCAGTGCTGGGTTAACGGTTGGACTTAGTGATCTTAAGGTTCTTTTCCAACCTTAATGATTCTATGATTCTATGCGAGATTAAATCCTTTCCCCCCCCCTCTTCCTCCTCCCAGGTGCCTGCTGACGGAAACGCTGGGTTGTTGGCAGAGCCTCAAATCGCCATGTTCTGTGGGAAACTCAACATGCACATGAATGTGCAGAACGGAAAGTGGGAATCAGACCCCTCTGGCACGAAGACCTGCATCGGGACGAAGGAAGGGATTCTCCAGTACTGCCAGGAAGTAAGTACTGTCTTCTGGAACCACTGCGGTGGTTGTTCTTCTGAAGCACCAAAGTGCAGACGCATGCTGGAGAGCTGAGTCTGTAGGGACCTTCCCTTTCTTTTTTTTTTTTTCTTCTTCTGCTCCATTGCCCTTTTGTCCTTTTTAAAGAGGTTCTCCTCAGAGCCTGTTAAAACAGCTTCAAAACCTGGTTGCTGGGGGTCACTGAGGCTGTTGGACAATTTTGTCCCTCTGTCTTCTGCCCTTGGGGGATAATTTTGTATAGTATAGGCACAATGAACTTCTTGCTTATGAAGTATTTTGAATAAAGCTGAGGTGACAGTTTATTATTTAAAATGCCCTTGTTCTTTCTGGGCTGATCTTGAAAGAGTCAGCTGTAACACGTCTTCTGTCATCCTACCATGATACTGAAATACACTGGGTCAGTCTGGTGTTATTGGTCTCTGCTGCACACTGAACCATTCAGAGTTTCTTAATAGAAAAAGCTTGCCCTACAGATGAAGTCACAATGACTGATTTCATATTTGAGAGCAGAAACGTATTACCCACTCACTTATGTCCTAAGAACAGATTGTGGATCTAATTTTGTTTTGTCTCCATGCTGTGATAGCATGATAACCTTGTACCAGCGTGTGACAGTTTGAAAAGAAAATGTGGATTTCATGCCATGAAACAAAAGGGCATGGCTTGAGTCGCGTTGGTCCTTATGTCTTTCTACACCATCTCTGCTTTTTTTTTTAAGCAGGGACTACTGCTTATTGCCATAGTGGTAGCTGTCTTGCTTCCTAAATGTCAAACCAATTCCTGTGAAAGTGCCTCTTTAGAAAGCAAGATAATTAACTCTTCAGATCTCTGCTCTCTTAGCATCATTCCTGTCCTTTCACCCATTGATTGTTCCTTCTGTTTCTTGCAGTGTTTTGTTGTTTTTCCTGAGTTTGGGCTTTATGGTCTAGAATATTCATTTTAAGGAAGAACTTGTAATGGCTACTGAAATCAGTTCTTCGCCAGTAGCTTTGTCTTTTTACTAAAAATACTAGTTTCTGAGATTCGTAATATTTTTGTTTACCACTAGCAAAAATACCAAGCCTAACCTTACTAGTAAGGTTTCAGAAGGTTCTTCTGGTTTTCCATTGTCTCCTTTGAATTATCTAAAGTTGATTTATGCATAGTGATATTATTGAGGGTGGGGGAAGAAACAAGGAGATAGAAGTGTAGACAGTCACTTAATAAAAGTCCACAAGGTAGCAGACATATCTAAACTTACAGAAAGAAATATGTGAATTTAGAGGAAGTAAGAGCAGAAAGTTTGGATGGTTTTAAGGCATGAATAGCTCAGTAGGGCGGCAGTTCAGTTACAAATGCTGCAGGTAGGGAAGGATTCCAGAATAAGAACTGGGAGTTGCAAATCTCAGCTGAATGTCAGGTGATTTTGAAGTTTTGGGTGGCATTAAAAAAACAAAACAAAACAACAAAAAACAACAAACAAAAACAAAAAAACCCCAACAAACAAAAACCCACCTCTTAAAACTAAAGTGAAGAGGAAAGCAAAAGCAGTCAGAAGGTAGTAGCCATATACTGTTAGATGACAAAGGGAATAATAAGGAAAGCTGTGACTGCACATGAGGAAAAAATTCTTTGCCTTGAGAGTGGCCATGACCTCTGTAGCTCTCTTTTAACCTGAATTTTTTTGTGAATCTGAAATTTTCTCCTCACTGGAGAAACAGAGGAGAGACCTTCTGTTACTTGTGTTTTTTAAGGATAAATATTTAACTCCAGTGTGATGGTAGCCTTGATTTGTGTGCTGACAGTTCATTAGCTTAATATTAGATGATCACATCATGATTTTGGAGTGTCTCTTTAGGTATGGTTAAAAGCACAGTGTAGAGAGTTCTGCCTTCTTGGGGGGCAAGGTGCTGGTGGGTCTGCTCCCTAAAAATGGGGTGGGCATCTTACTGCTTTCAGTCAATCTACATTATTATAGGTGTGTGATTAAGCAGTGTGCTCTCATTAACTTCAAGTGAGCAATTCTGCTGTGGGTATCTGGCTAAAAACCCTTTCCTTGCTGTGCTCACCAGTAGGCTATCTGTTTGTGGGAAACTGCCAATGTCCTGGCTGTCCTGCCCTGTCCTTATTCCCCACACACACCTGAGCTGCACAGTACAACTGGCTGTAGGACACTGGTGGAGAAAGGGGAAAACTGGTCTGGGGTGAAAAAGCACGTGACAGCACCAGAGCTCTCTGTCAGCAGCTGGTTTGGGGATGGGAAGGAATCATGTGAGCCCCTATTTTTTTTAATACTGGTAATAAATTCAGAAATAGATAGTAAATATTAGGAAGGTCGGATCTGCTGACAACAAGTTAAAACGAAAAGTCACATGGAGGTTGATCCAGCCCGGCAGGGTGGAAAGAAGCTCCCAGTTCAGTACGACTCTTCTCTGTAGTCTTCCCTGCGGCCGGGTCTGTAGCATGGTGGGCTTTGACTCTGGCTGGCAAAGGGCACTACTGCTTTACTTCTGCTTAACTTTCCCGTGACCTGACAAGAGCAACAGAAGAGTCGGATAAAAGCACCCACTTCTACCAAATAAATGAATTTATAGAGAAGTGCTAGTGAATGCACCTCAAAGTGGCTTCTCAGCTGTGGGGAACCCCTTATTGCTTGATGCTCCAAATATGCTTACTATCCTGGGGGTAACAAGTGAGGTTGTTTTCCTCTTACCTTCTGCTGTTTACATGGGCTGAGAGACAGCGCTTGCTGTCAGGCCCAGGGAACAGGGTAAATTTGCATTTTCCCATTAGCAGGAAGCAATAGGCATCAAGGCTGAGATGTGGTACCTCTTGCATTGGAATAGTATGCAGATTAAAATCTCCTTTTTGATTACTTTTGCCAAATACGACCTTTTCCTTCCTTCCTTTTCTTCTGTTCTTGCTGCCTTTTTTCCCCCAAAAGGAGGACTGCTACTTCTTGGGGTGCTTTTTTTCTCAGTATAGGCAAAGGCTGAGCGTATGTGCTCTGCCGATCAAGTAGACAGGTACTCTGCCTGAATCTGCTTTTCCTGTTCCCTGGCACCATGGCAGCTTCCTTGGCTCTTCGGTCTTGCTGTAGCAGCAGCTGTTAGTACCACTCTGCTAAGGTACTGGGTTTTTCCCCAGCTGTGAGTGGAGCCCTGAATGACAGGGAGCAAGGGAAGGTAAGATTTTGCCCTGGATCTCCAATGAGAAATCTGTCCATCCTAGTTTTTGTTGCAGATACCTTGTGTGCTTCTGCAACAGGCATTGTGATTATGGCTGTAGTGCAAGAGATGATGCTCTACTCCAGTAGATCCTGTAGAGGTAGTTTATGCACGCAGTTCCTCCTGCACCAGCGGCATACTGAAAGGAGCCAACTGGGTAGAAATTACAGTGGAGATCGTGCTCTGTGGCTCCTTGGCTCTAAAATAATACAAGTTAGTAACTTTTAGCAGGAAATTCCAGTCAATCCAAAATTATATGCTCTGTAGCCTCTGGCTTTGTTTTCTTCCATGGAAGGTATCTTGCAAAAAATAAAGAATAAAATCTCCCCTTTCAGCAGAACTTACAAGTAGATGTGGTGTTCTGCCTCCCTATAAGCTGTTTTAAAAGAGCTTTTCCTGACGACGCCAGGCCAGACGCCTGAGTGGTGGGCAGAGCACTGGGCTGGAAGGTGCAGGAAGTACAGAAGAGCTTACATTTACTGCGAGCCTTGAATCTTTTCCTTGAGATTGTCATCATTGCCTCTCCTCATCCACTGCCAGCGTAGGTGGCTTTTCAAGTCTTGATGCAGGAAGCAGCAGTAGAGGAGCATTGCAGGGGCAGAGAGGGAGGAACGGGGAATAAGCAGAACCACCTACGTGTTTTAAAGATGTGTGTCACTTGTTGCTTCACTTCTTTTGAGTGGGAGCTCAGTGCAGTACAGGAACTGTCTGGATTTATATTTGGACAACACATCACACAGTTTAAAGATGACAAAGCTCAGACTGTACATTACTTATTTGAATGGAAATGGAAGATACTTGAGTGCTACCTTCTAACTTCCTTGAGTTCAATTAAACTCTGCTGTTGTAGTCACAAGAAATGGTTCTGGAAGCAGAGCGCATCCATCTCCTCTGCCTTCAAATCTGCATATTCTCCCTTGTTCAGCCTAAGCTGGTGGCTTTTTTTTTTTTTTCTTCCAAATACAGCAAAATGAAGCTTTCCTGGGTGGAATGAGGTGCTGGTTAGAGAAGCACAATTTACTTGTGGTATCTTTTAATCTCAAACTAGCTAGTATGCCACTATATTAATTGTACCCACTATTGAAAAGTAAAATGGCATGGGCCTGATCTGCAAACAGCTGTGAAATGCAAGTGCTGCAGGTGCTAGAGCAATGCTGCATTAATGTAAAGGGAGTGGTTACACCTGTGTATGTGCCAGAAGCCGTAAGGTGTTGTGAGTGTGCTAGCTGACACTTCAAATCAAGCCATCAGTCAGTCTAGTGCTGCTGCTGACAGCGCAGTACCAGCTGTTCCAGAGGGATGTTGGAAAAACCCTGCCATACACTATTACTGGTTAACTAGCCCCCTGGGGAAAGTTTCTGCCTAACAGCCCTTGATGGGTGGTTAGCTGATGTCCTAAAACAGGTGGGGACCACTGCTCCTGAATTTTGCTTTTTATTGTTTTGTGGAAAAAAAAACAGGTACCCCCACCCACGCACGTTCACACACCGGGGTGGCACGTTACTGTGGAAGGAAGGTGTGTTTCGGAGCAGGCCGTGCTGGTGCTGGAGGCCAGTCAGTTCTTTGTCTTGCTAAACAGTTTTCATAAAGCCAATCTGGAGCCTGCCCTTTGGCAAAGTACGTGTTTTCAGCCGCATGCATATGCAGAGCAGGAAGTTAATTTAGGTGTGCTCAGTTCCCTGTTCAAACGGAATGAGTGTTCAGATGGAAGATATTGGTGTATGTTTTTATTATATTAGCAATTTTGAACAGCTACTGTGTGCTGAATTT